TTGTGGGGATATATTGTTGACTTTTTCAACACAAGGTAGAAGTAGTTAATTTTACCAAACCCGAGGGCTGCAATAGTGACTAACCCTTTAATTTAATTTGAAATATTTTTGTGTCTCCATTGAATGTTCTAGGTAGAGCTGCGGGACGTTGATAGTGGAACCAAAGTGAATGAAAGATTTCGTACAGATGAGGCAGTTGAGAGTATGCATCTTCAGCTATTCAAATTTTTGTTTTGAAATAGTTTCAATCAGATTGTCATTTTTTCCTGCATGGGTTAAATTCTCTTAAAGCTTAACTATATTCAGGCATTCAGCTAAGTTTAACCTCAATCTAGTTGGGATCAGCCACATTGGTTCTATTTTTTCATGCCTTGATGATTTATGAAGTGACTACACATTCCATATTATCTGTACATTTTTTTTATTTATTTAAGTATTGCTTCCTAACATTTAGCACCCAAAACTTTAGATCATGTTATAAGGAGCTTGTACGGGCTTTCTAGCGTCAAGTTTGTGTTGTTAATGAAGGGGAACCTTAGCTGACTTGCAGTGGCTCATTATCCTAAAATGTTTCTGACTCCATAGTCCATTCCTTCTAGATATTGACAGTGTTTACCTCTGCAGGGGTGTTTGCTGCAGAAAAGACTTTTACATACCTTTACACTGATGATGAAAGTGGAAATATTGTTCTAATGGAGTAAGTTGATTTTTGTTTGTTATTCTAGTTCTTTTAACGTAATTCTGCATAGCTGATTCTCATTTTATTATTTTGACTAGGCCTGATACATATGCACAGGTGGATGTACCAAAACATTTGTTTGGTGATTCTTATGTCTACCTTCAAGGTAATGAAATTATGGTTTTTTTTGAGGTTATGAAATTATGTTAAAAATAAAATTGAGGCGCCATATTTTAAAATCCCCCTATGGTATACTTTATATTGGATACACATAGAGTTTGTGTATTCCATAGTATCTACGATATTGCTGGTTTATAACCCAATCCTATTAATTGTTAGATCATACCATCTGGTTGTTTCACTCTATTAATTGATAGATTGCTATTCTTCACTTCTTCAAAAACCTGTGGTGAACAGATGACATGAAAGTCAGTGTGCAGATGTATGATGAAAGACCAATGTCGGCATCAATTCCAACACGCGTTACATGCACCATCTCAGAAGCTCCAGTTCACGTGAAGGGTGCTTCAGTTACCCCTCAGTATGTAGTATATGTACTTTCTGCTCCTGATTGCATGCTAGTATGTATATACTGAAACAGATAAGCATATTTAACACTTCCAAATTATTTAACTTCCTCCAGGTACAAAAAGGCTGTTTTGGACAATGGTCTCTCTATCATGGTAAGTTTGAGTGCATGATAGTAAGTTTCTAATGGACTTTTTGATTTTAACACCGTTTGGATGCCACTCGGGAAATTTTCTTCTTTCGGTGATACATTAGTCTTCTAATATTCACACAGCAACCTTTGACATATGGTCTTAATTATCTAGGTGCCGGGACACATCTTACCGGGGGACAAGATAATAGTAAACACCACAGATAATTCTTACGCTAGCAAGTGAGTGTTTTTTTTTTTGCTTTATACTCCCTCCGTCCCAAAAAAACATTTCCACTTTCAATTAATAACTCAATTTTACCGCTACTAATTATTAACTTACCTATTACATCATATCTATTCACTGTTAATCTACCCATTACATCCTATCTTACCCACAATAAAGGGCAAAATTGGAAATTAATACTAAAAATACACATTTCGTAAATCTCACCTTTTTTTAGAGTGGAAAAGTTTTTTTTTGGGGGATGGAGGTAGTATTTTGTTTGAAACCTCTATCAAACAATGTGTATGCTAGATCAAACCATTTGCTTACTGATGTTTTAACATGGCTTGTTGTTCTGTGTTCAGGGCTTAGATAAGAAGTCTTGGACAATTGTTGCTGCTTGTTAGGTATACGAAGCATTTTGCCATTTCTTACAAGGAAATTACTAGCAGAATTTTGAGGATGGATTTCAGGATTTTTTTTATTAAAGATTGATTTATTTCTGCATTATTTAAATAATAAATTTATGCTTCTTCTACTCGTTTTGTTTTACGAGTATAATTTGTAGTTAAAATAGAATAAATGGGTGTTCTTTCCCCCCTTATATGAGGACCCAATTATATTGGCATTGAATTTAAGAGAGTAAATTCCAAAAATACTCCCTCCGTCCCGCTATATTCGTCCACTTTTGACTTTTGGAACTGTTCATACAAGTACTTTGACTCATCAAATTCTCTCAATGTGTTAGCCTAAATATAGTCATGCGTGATCTTGTTTGATTTGTCTTAACATATAGATTATTAATATATAATTTCTATAATTTTTTAATATACAAATTACAATATAAAATGAATTAAAGAAGTGTATTGGATGGTGTGCAAAAATGAAAGTGGACAAATATAATGGGACGGAGGGAGTAATTCATAATCAGGGGTTTTTCGTACGTAATTCTTAATTCTAAAATATTACATTCGTGGTTATTGATATTTAAAAGTTAGTATTCTATAATCAGTCTTTTAAAGACTATATGTGAAAAATACGAGTAGTATTTCGGTCAAAAAATAATTATAGACTGACTTTCAAATATAGAGGATTACAAACGTAATATTTTAAAATTAGGGATTATATAGAGAAAAGCTCATGTTTTGAAGGACCTTTCATGAAATTCATTCAACTTAAAATGATTTGGGATGGTAATTTATCTTTGAAATATGAGAGGCGTTTTAGAATGTTTGGGGGGTGCCAAATATGTCCCCTTGCACATTGAGCATGGCGGTGTGAAAATAGAATTCAACTTTATTTAACCAATACTCTCCCTATTCCTAAATAATTGCCACTTTATCTGAGTACGCGATTTTCTTATAATTTGTCATCAATGTTTTAAAATGTTGACCGTAAAAGCTAGCCAAACAAAGAAGAAAGATATGGGACAATGAAATACTCTCTCCGTCCCATAAAGATAGGGACGTTTAGACTAAAATGGTAAAATAAAGATAGATAATTTTGTGTTGACTTTCCAAAAATACCCTTCATGTGAGAGTTAAAAGTAGGATGTGATGTGTAGATTATTAAGAAAAAAGTACGATGTGATATGTAGGGTATGAAAAAACTAAGAGGTAAAAGTGTTTTTTTAATAGAAATGAGAATAACTTTTGAGGACATAATTTTTTGAAACGTGAAAGACTTTATGAGACGGAGAAAATATAATATTTAGTATGAAGATGAATGAGGTATGTACATACATGTATATTCTACACAAGCAAGTTAAGGTTATTGTCATCCAAATAACCAATTGAGTTTTAACCATATATATCTAAGATATATGAAAGTAGTTCTACACCATACAATTTGAGTGTTGACCGGCCCTATACTTTCGCCCAAACAATCAAAAAAAACGCAACCACCTATAAATTTGGCATAATCCAACAAACAACCTCCATATATATATATATATGATCGAAGACTCTAATTGTATTCACATATATAGCTAGTAGTAATTATATATACAAAAAGAAAGAAGATAGGTAGCAAATTAAAACACAGACATTATCTGCGGTTAATAATTAATTAATTAATTTAAGAAACAGTATAATATTGTTGTTGAGAATGGCAAACATGAGAGGAGGGATTGGGGCGGCGATCATGTGTTTGATGATGATTGCGGCGGCCGGCCGCCCCACAAAGACGATAGATATTCGCAAAATGCCATTGCAGTTTCCATGCGGTCGTCCCGGAGCCGATGCCAAGAACTGCGTGCCGGAAAGTGAAGTCATTGATCGAGGCTGCAACTCCTTTCTCCGGTGCCGTGGCGACCGCCGCCTTCTCTCTCATGTGCTTTAATCATTTTCGGGACATGATTTTATTTATTGGAAACGTATTATACATTTCCTTCTTACTGAGAGGGCTCTTTTTTTTTTTTTTTAAAAAAATAACCATTTCTTTCTTTCTTTCTTGAGAAAGTACACTTTGTTTTTATGTGTTTTGTGCTCATAAATTAATTATACATATGAATTTTATTGTTCTCTACCTGTTATCAAACTAACTCCGTATAAATTTTTAAATATATATACTTGGATATGCATTTGTGAAATTAAACTACTTTCCCCGTCCCATATTAATTTTCAAAGGAATAAAAAAAGCGTCCCCTAAAAATTGTCTAATTTTGATATATTATTTTTTAATTTAGTCCTTACCTTATTATAAGGTAAGATATGATGTGTATGATAGATGAGTTATAATTAAATAATAATTCAAAATTACCCATTTTTCAGACTTGTCTTTTTTTTGCTCTTTTGTGAATATCTTTAATCTATTTTATCTTGTAATTTCTATATTAAAAAATTATAAAAATTATATATTAATAATCTATATGTTAAGACGAATCAAACAAGATCACACATGACTATTTTTAGGCTTACACATTGGAAAAATTTGATGAGTCAAAGTACTTAGATGAACAGTTCCAAAAGTCAAAAGTGGACAAACACTCAGGGACGGACCAAGTATTATGCTCGGATGCCTCCACATCGATAGTGTCCAAAATCGACCAAAGCACCTTCAAAGCTTTAGAAAGGTCACACATTGTTTGAAGTCTCAATTCACCAAAGTTTGGATAATATGTGCATAACGTACTTTTGTATGATGATCATGTAATAAGACTACACCTCGCAAAACAGACTCGGACCTGATAACTCGAACCAAATAACCCAGAATCGAATTCGAAATGACCCAAAAACTGAAAAACCGAATTAAATCTGAACACCCGAAATGATTTGAACCGAATCAAAAACAATTCCACTCCGTCATATCTGTTTTACTGAGGCTCCAGGACCCGCCCCCTTTTTCGCCACACCCACCAATCTCACGACATGCTGCCTTCAATCGTTGATTCACGAGTTGTATGCCTCTCCCTCTCCATCTCCAGATTCTATTTTGGGTTAAAATCTTCCGAATATCTTTGGGTTGATTTCGTAAATTCTCGGCTCAGGAGTGTGCAATTTCTTGTTCGATTGGAATGATCTTAGGGTTTCGATATGAAACCCTTGATTTTGGGTTTGAAATGTTTGGATACCCCCGAAAACTGGTTTAATTGTTAGCCGTTATTTTGATACAAAAAATAAATATATAGATTATTTTCAGACTAAAAAATATCAATTATTTGTAAAGTCGACCTTTTTATTTAAAAATTAGGTAATCAGGTAGATCCCGTAAAATGGTGACCAACTACTTATAATTTGTTATGTTTGGACTTGTAAAAATTTATGACTATAAGGATTCTATAATATAATAATAAAAAGTTATGACTATAAAGATTTTATGTTTATACGTTATTTTCTTTCATGTTTGTTCGTTGAGTTGCATCTCATCGAGTTCCAGGTCTGTACCATGATTTTAAACAATATTAGAAGGTGTGGGACAATTCTTGAACATATTGATTCGTATATATTTGAAGATATGAATATTTTTATAGTCATAATTACCAAACTTGTTTTTGTTGTTAAAACTTCAAATAAATTGTTTTAAAATGATCTATGGATGTTAGAGAAGATTTTTTATAGTTAAATTAAAGTTTGATAGCTTAAAATGCTATTTTAGAAGCTTGAACTGAGGTTGAAGACAAAGTACAATTCAAATTTCGAATCAGTCCGCTATAGCAGAATGGTCGACCGTCGCACGGTATGGTCAACCGTATCACAACCAATATCTTGTTGCAACAATGGTCGACTGTCGCACGGCCAGTACTGTAGTAGCGGTAACGGACAACCATCGTAGGATAACGGTCGACCGTTGCAGGCCATTAATTTGTTTAGTCTTACTTTATATTGAGGCGTTCTAGCTTGTAAATCATGTGACAGGGTTTCGTTTCCTAGAATGGTTGTACCCCTCAATTCAAGTTGGCAAACAATTTCCATCCCAGCACAGCTAGTGGAGTCGTGGTTGGGATTCACTTGACGCCTAACTTAAGCTAAATGCATTATTACGATTAATATTCAAGGCAGGTCTTGAACTAATGAGAGTAGTAATAATGTCCAATCCAGGCATTGGTGCTTAGGGAAGGCTAATAGAGTCGTAGAAGAAGGTGAAGTAGTCGGTTAACTCTTAGATGCAAACTTCTTACTGTCCAGTCACATAAATTCTTTCAGAATAAACGTTGGTTATTGATTCATTCAAATATTACATATTTTTCTAAGGATTAAATTGAGGCCTGATATACATATTTTTTGTACTATGTTACTATATGTTGTCTATTTGTTTTATTTCTCCTTTTATTGTTGTTCTTTAGCTTAATTTGTTTGTTCTTCTCTTCTTTTTATTTTCATTTCAAACCCCCACCATCCTCCCCCCCATCTATGTTTCTTTATTATATAAACGTTTTAGGTTAGTGTTTAGTACTAGTTTATTATATTAAGGTCACAAGAGTAAACTGGTTCAAATCATCTTTCCTCATGAGATCGGTTCTTACTCACACGTTTCGCAAGTTTACGAGATATAGATTCTAATATCTCCTAACAACTATAGGCAATGAAATATCTAGATGTATTGGGCGAGTTTATAAGATAAAGTATCTAGTATATCCTAGCATCTCTAGGGAATGGAATACTTAGAGGCATTTGGCGAGTTGAGAAGATATAAATTCTAGTGTCTCCTATCAACTCGAGGTGATTGGATAGATGCGTTAGAAGAGTTCAGAAGATATAGATTCTAGTATCTCCTAGCAATTTTTAGGGCAAGGTCTGCGTACACACATCCTCCCCAGACCCTACTGTAGTGGAATTCAACCGGGTTGTTGTTGTTGTTGTATCTCCTAGCAACTCTAGGTAATGGAATACCTAAACGCGTTTGGCGAGTTTAGAAGATATAGATTGTAGTACCTCCTAACAACTCTAGGTAATGGAATACCTAGATGCATTGGGTGAGTTTAGAAGATATAGATTCTAGTATCTCCAAACAACTCTAGATAATGGAATACCTCGATGCATTGGGCATGTTTAGAAGATCTAAGATTCTAGTATCTCCCAATATCAGAATCTTTTGTGGGGGTTTGGTGAAGGTAGATTCGGATTTAATATTTCCAAATTTCACAATCCTCCCAAGTAAAATTGGTTTGATATCTCAAATTTTAGAGAAAACCAATCTGGGTAGTTTGGTAGGAACGATCATTTCAAATCTCAAAACCCACATAATGTCTTTTAGATTTCAAAACTCATCATATCAAACTTACAAAACTCAACAAACGGGCCTTTAAAAAAAGTACAGAGTTTTATTTCCACTAAAAAAGGGAAAAAGCTTAAGTATATTATGTTGTATATAGGTAAATACACAATGATGATTGTATATAGCTTCATGAAAACTTCCACTGAATAATTCGAGATTGCACTGGATTTCAGCGGAAAGCATGGTCATAGTCATGGAAGCAGAAAATTTTGTAAATGAAGTTTGATAACCACTTGGAAGCCAGAAAGCATAGCACTGAAGTGGCTATCAAACTATTTCTTGCCACCGCTGACATTAAACCCTGCTTAGATGCAGCAGCAATTCCAATAAAAGCAATGGAGATCACCTGTAATGCAACCTCGAGCGCATTCAAACTTTTATATGCCAAATTGCAGCTGGAGCATTTCACGGTATGGCTCCAGTACCTGACAAAAAAAACAAAATCCAGGTTTTAAACCTTCATTCTTGTGATCTGTTTTCTAAAGGCATGTTTCTTAAGAGACAATATCACTTGTTGTAAAACAATAAGCAGCAATGAGAAAGCGAGATAAGTTGCTTCATACCATTTAAATATTTTGGATTATTTAGGGTTCCTTGGGTGGGTTTTTTCCAAGGACCCTTCAAATAAGAGTGAGTTTAGTTGAAATTGCAAGAATATGCTTACGTTACTAAAATTGCGACTTATATTGATTTTCTAAGATTACTCACGACAACAATAAACCCACTTGGGTATGGGTCAAGAAGTACACAAACCTTCCTTTGCTAAGGAATATTGAGGCTAGTTCAATTACACCCTTGATGTATTGTTGCATTTACTGTCCAACATTTCATATACATAGAATAAGGGTTAATATGTCATTTTGGTTAAGTCTATTATTTGCGTGGAACTAAAACATTGTCAAAATAACTCTTTTAGACCCGTTGGCAATGAGTGCCTTGCTAAAACTACTGAATTTTGAATAAATAAAGAATAAAAATCTTTTCAGTAATAAAATAAGGAAAGTATGTGAAAATAATGGTAAAATGATTATCTTCCATAACTTCGGCAAACAAAGTACATAAAGTTCTACTTTTTCCATTATCAGCCAATCCAACGTGCCCAATTGAATCAATTAGTACTTCCTCCGTCCCAAAATGAAATTTACGAAGTGTTGAGAGGTAAGAGTGTATGATTGGAATTTGTTTAGAAAAGATAGAATTTTTGCGAGCCACGTGTTCTTTTCCTCAATCAGAATGTGAGAAAGTGCAAAGTGCATTTTGAAACACCCAAAAAAGGAAAGTGTAAACTTCCTCTTGCAGTCTTGCATGGAGGGAGTATTTAGTAGACCTATCAGGTCAATCCGTTTGGTTCAGTTCTGGTTTGATTTGTTTGGTTCGGGTATATGTTATAACCAGTTTGGGGCCGTGTTTAATTAAGTTGTGTACTTTTTTTGGTTCGGTTAGGTTACGGTTCAATTCGAATACGGTTTGGAATATAATTATTTTGGGTAAATATTGATTTGGGAACATAACGGTTCAGGTAGATATCGGTCCAGAAAAATACACATTCTAAGTACTAAGAACACACTTCTCATTTTATGATTTTTGTTATGATTCGGTTTGGGTATAGTTCGGGTCTGATTATGAGTTGGTTTAGGTCTGTTCAGTTCAGGACTTCAGGTTACATTTTGGGTTCAGGTCATTTTGGATATCGGTAACAGATCAAGTATTCATGTTTTTGGGTCATTTTGGGCTCGGGTTTGGGTTAATCGATTCAAGGTCCGTTTTGCCGGGTCTAGTATTTTTTAAGGATATTGGAAAATAAGGCTTATGAGCCCAAAAAATGGCTACGAAATGTCCACCAAGATGAATGCAAAGAAAAATGAAGATATGAAGGGGCTCAATAGAGCTGAAAAATTACCGGTCCATCAACTGCTCCCTAGGAGGAGATTGTGGGAGCACTCCACTAAACTTTGTTCTCCAATCGACTTGCCCGCCTGCAAACTTATTTAGCCACCTTCGAAAGGCAACGACAACGGCATCTGCCTTCGTTGGTACATAACAAGATTTGTGCCAATTACAAGGGCCAACCTCCTTTAGCTTGTGTTCCTAAGAAACAGATGGAATCAATAAAATTTATTAGTTAGACAGATATCTAATGCATAATGCATTTGTCCATCGTTTCTACCTAAACCTTTGTATCATAGAATTTAATCTGTAAAACCTTAGAATAGTTGAGAAGGTGAGGTTGCTTGATCATCAAAAACATTGTGGTTTATAATCCATAAAACAAAAGGGTAATAAAACATTTCCCACCCTAGTATATAGCAGGGATGCGGGCAGAAGGCAAAAGGAGGTGATTTTAGTAAAGCCTTGCAACCTTCCCTCAAGGATCAATTGAATCTCTAAAAGGTAGTACTTTATCCATATATGAGTTCGAAAGTAAATCTCTTCAAGGTATTTATCTAATTACTGCCTATTTTTGCTGCTTTTTTGGAAACATGTTCTTAAATTCTAACAGTTTTTATGAGATTATTAATGTGCAATACCATAGCTCTTTAAATGAAACTGACATAATCCATTATTAGCAACAATCACAAAAGACTTCACTTGATTTACAACTTGTAAAAGGATGAAACTTTGCTATCTTGCAGTAAAAGAATGACTTTTCATCTTTTACTTAATCTGAAAGGATTGATAATTTTTATTTGTACTCATAAACCTAGAACCAAATACTCTTTAGATTTTAGTAGAAACAACCTTATAGGGGTGGGGAAATCTTTCAAGGTTTGCATTATTGTTAGAGAATGAGGTCAATTTATAGTAGTTGGACAAGTTAAATAGGTTTTAGATAAACAGTCTTGATCCTAGGCAACCTTTGACATTCTACTTCGCTACATTTTGACACGTGGCAAAAGAAAAATTGGGCCCCAAGATCCCGAGAACCACAACCACGTGTCAAATTATGGTGGAACGTGACACGGAAGGAGATGGAAAAGAGGACAAAGGATCCAGACCATATGACAAGTGCTACGTTTCACAAAATTAGACACTTGGGATTGCCCTTTTTATTTGTAAAGGAAAATGCTAGTTGAATAGAAATAAAACTCAAGGTTGACACCACTAGAGACACTCAGATAATTACGTAGAGAAAGTGCATCTCTACGCAATTGTCTCTAGAGGTGTCAACCTTGAGTTTTATTCCTATTAAAGTAGAATTTTCCTCTACAAAAAAAAGACAACAATCCCAAATGGCTAATTTTGTCAAATGCAGCACTTGACATATGGTCTGGATCCTTTGTCCCCTTTGTCGTCTCCTTTTGTGTCACATTCCACCATATTTTGACACATGGCAGTGGTTCTCACGATCTTGGGGCTCATTTTTTCCTTCGCCACGTGTCAAAATGTAATGAACTTGAATGCCAAAGGTGGTCTAGGATCAAACTGCTTATCTAAAACTTATTTAACATGTCCAACCACTATAAATTAACCTCATTCTCTAACAATAATACCAACCTTGAAAGATTTCTCCACCCCAATAAGGTTGTTATTACTAAAAGCTAAAGAGTATTTGGTTCTAATTTATGAGTACAAATCAACAATTATCAATCCTATCAAATTAAGTAAAAGGTGAAAAGTCATTCTTTTACTGCAAGATAGCAAAGTTTCATCCATTTTAGTGGTTGTAAATCAAGTGAAGTTTGATGTGGTTGTTGCTAATAATAGATTAAGTGAGTGGCATTTACAACAACAACAACAACCCATTTGTATCCCATAGGAGTAGGGTCCGGGGAGGGTGTGTGTATGCAGACCTTACCCTACTTGAAAGTAGAGAGGCTGTTTCCAAAGAGATCCCCGACTCAACGTCGAAAGTTGCATTGATTGACTAACTGCTACTTCATTTATTAAAGAAGCTCAGACAGTTTAGAGATCTATTTTGCTTCATTCCATGACACCCCAAAGCCAAAAAATAATGAATCTTTGGATCCATTGGAGATGATGGAAATATAATATTGCACATTGATAATCTCATAAAAAACTGTAACAACTTAAGAACGTGTCTCCAAAAAATAGTAAAAATATGCAGTAATTAAATAAACGTCTTGAAAAGATTTAGTTTTGAATTCAAACATGGATGAAGAACTACGTCCCTGAGATTCAACTGATCCTTGGGGGAAAGGTTGCAAGACTTTACTAAAATTGCCTCCTTTCGCCTTCTGCACGCCCCTCTCCTAATTAGTTGATATTCAAGTAATCTGTCAATGTAGTATATTCAAGTAAACGGATTTCATTACAAAAATTCGAAAAGAAAATAGAATATGACTTTTTTATGTAAAATAATACTTCCTCCATCACTAATTGTTTACAAGTAATCTCATGGAAATCATCAATTATAACTTCATTTTTAAATATATTCGTTATCTTTGTTAGTTTAACAAAATTTGATGCATTTTACTTGTTAGGGACACTTGTATTTTAAAAAACATTAAACATAAAGAGAATGACCTTTGTTCAAATTGGGCTCTTTTTTAGGACAATATAGCTTTAGGAACAGAACTCTTTTTATGGGACAAATGGAGTATTTTAGAAACCAAAAGGCTTACCTCGACATGGAGAAGATATAAATCTGAGTCCAAAATTAGATTCTGTCCTATATGAAAAACCCAGCGTGGCACTACTCTTTCCATCCAAACAGCAAAGTTTCTTGGTGAAGCAAATATTACCCTACTGTTTCCCGGACTAACAGGGATGCAATAGAAAACTAATAAAGCTTGTTTCTGCTTTCTATTTAAAGATTTCTCCTGCATGACGACATACATAAATTTTAAGGACTAGGAATGTATGACCTTAATAATTGATAAAAAAAGAATGTACAACAACAACAACATTACCCCAGTGCCTCAAAGGCTCCCGTCATTGCGGGGTAGAGGGGGTCGGATGTACGCAGCCTGACCCCTAGGTTTAAAACATAGAGCGGCTGTTTCCGAATGACCCATGATGATGAGCATTGAAAGTTGCATTGATTAACTGCTATATCACTATTGAAAGAAGCGCAGAGAATTGGACAATTTAAAGAGAAATTTTGCTTTATTCCATCATACCCCAAAGCAAAAAAAATTAGTGAATTTTTGGCTCTAACGGAGATTAAGGAAATAATATACGGAGTATTTTACAATTACTAAAAGACATGAGTATTTGTAATACATTATATTTAATAGTCTATACCTCAGTGGCCTTTGGTGATGAAGTGGATTGACTAGACGCATTTGCCCCAAGATTGTAATACCCATAGTACACACAAGGAGGTGCAAAAGTGTTATAACCCACAGCCTGCACTGCTTTGATTCCATTAACATCTAGTTGTGTAATACTAATTTGAAGTGGTCTGCCTCCTTCTCTATCAGCCTTTAAAGTGCACGAATCTGGATGTCAGGCATATAAAGACTAGAAAAAGTATACCACAAAGAAGTATTTTGGATATGGGTCTTATCTGTTTGGGGTCTTTGGAAGCCTCATTATGCCATGATGTGCATAATGAACATGAGCTGGGTCCATAAGATTTTCAATCAGAACTTCGTACCTGAAAGATACTCCTTTAGTTGCCAGTAAAAATTGGAGAAGAATTTAAGGAACTTTGGGAATTTGATCATGTGATCTCTGGCATCCTAGCTTAAGCATATTTAAAACATTTGAAAAATTAGGGAAAAAAGAAAATTGTCATTGTAAGACTTCTTTGACTGCTCTTTGGCTTCTTTTCTTGGGCTACAGATTCTTTTCCCGTTTAGAATCAGTTTTCACTTTACCGCACCATGAGTTAAATAGTCCTATGAGTCAATAATGTTTATTTGAGTCAACATGAAGATACTTAAGAGTATATAGAATATTTTTTAATATTCTTTTATTTACATTCACCCAAAAAAATGTAAAGATATTGGAAGTTTCTGGTGTTAGAGTTCATCATGAAGAAAATTAACATATCTGTATCCACTTACCCATAAGGTAGGTCTCTAGCTATCATTGATTTGGTATATGAAGGATCGTCAATTTCCGGGATATAAGGTGGCTTTTTCTTCATGAATATGTCTTTACATACAGGATCTGTGTTCGGCCAAAACCAAAGAATGCCATTTTGTACACAATTTGGGTAAACAGCCACACATGCTCTTTTGGATGTATGAACCTGCAAACATCAGCAAAGATTAATATATTATTCATATTCACAGCAAGAAACAATATTTTCTCAGTAAAACAACTATAGGTTAGAGGTATGAATTTGAGAGAGGAATATGAATTATGATGCATTGATACAAATTATATATGATTCATATTCTTTGAATGAAATATTGATTATCCATATAGGATAAGAGGTGATAAGGCTGGTGATCCATTTGTAGGCAGAATGTAATATAGGTGCGGTCAGAGACGTGTTAATGCCAATCCACCAACATACTTTCCCCTTTTGATACCCTTTCCAAACCTTTGGGGAAGAAGTTAAGGAAAAATGTAGAGATGTCCGACCAAGTTTGTAGTCTTTCCCAAATCTTACAGTTTGGAGTTAAAGTGTTCAGCAGCAAGGAGAAGCTCCGCTAATTGCTTTGCCGATACGAACAATTATTCTGTAAACAAAACACAATGGACACCAACAAGGTTTCCTATGCTATCTACCACAAAATTGGTGAGGACAAGCTATGGTCTAGCAACTTTGAGAGATGCAAGTTTGAGGGTGACATCCCAAGTGGTGCGAAAATCTCCCTTCAAGCCATCACGGTCACGAGAGTCAACCGTGGTCCGTCCGTTGCCAGACTATGCAATTTTTTGCGTTTATTAACACACAACCCATGGAGACTCTCGTCACTATGGGAAGCACCCACAATTTCATTGGCAAAGGACTGCAGGGTCACTGTAAATTGAGAGAAAACAGCCATCTATAAGCAACACAGATATTTTGAACCTCTCCATCTCCCACTCCTTGAATTCAAAGAATTCTAACCAAAATTTATATTGGTTGTCTTTGATGATATTGTGTGTAGTAAATCGGGTGGAATCAGCTGCTTGTATGATGACAAATGTTTTCACATTGCTCATTCGTGGTTTAAGAAGTAACTACATCATTTTATTCACAAATGCACTTCTAACATTCTAAGTCATGAAAAGCCTATTTTATTTGAATACAAACTGTCATTTCAATACCAAAAAAAAAATATTCCAAAGCTTCTTTTCATCATTACATTTAGCTTACTTTTTCTGGTTCTTTTAGTTAAGATTCTTTTGACGCATTAAGCAAACAAGTATAAGGAACTAGACAATTCTAGTAATCTATTTGGGTTCCATCAAATGAAACTTCTTAGTGTTACTTCTTCATCATCAATTTCTGCGTGTTGCATTATACGAGATGTCTTATTTGCATCATAAAGCCTAACAGTTCAAAGCATCAAGAGGGGACAAGTATTTTAGCCAAATGGATAGATGTTTTCACCGGAGGCCCATCCCGGGGAGCTTGAGGGATGAATTTGCAATCGCCAGAGCCATCAAAGCACCACCCATGATACACACACTGCAACCTTCCCCACTGATCAATCCTACCCTCAGACAGAGGAGCCAGCCTGTGAGGGCAAGTGTCATCCATGACTTTCCACTCCCCCATGTTCCTATCCCACCACAGCACCAGATCAATCCCCAAAACCCTCTTCCCCTGGGGCCTCCTCTTGTCAAGATCACATATCGGCATCAACGGGTACCACTCTGCATACCAATCAAATCTCTCTCCTTGGGTTTGACCCTCTGTGACAAAGTCAACAGGGATCTCCGGCTCGGCCGAGATGTCCGTGGATTTGGCGGTGCAAATCGTGAATCCTGCGTTCTTCGAGTGAGTTGTCCGGAGAGGTGATTGGGGAAAGGGCTTTGCGGAAAATTGTGGATGGGGTTTGTGGAATTGGATGATTGGAAGCCCTTTGGAGCTCAGAGTGAAGTGAAATGGTGGATAAGCAGAAGCCCTCAGTGCTCCTTCCATTGTTGCTAGCTTGATTGTGGATGAGGTATCTTTGGCTGGCAGTACCAAGGTCAATATCTCAAGGATGAGGTATCCATTGTTACTCAAACTTCGGAATTCAAACTTCAAACGGCTTGGAATAACCTCACATTTTTTACCCAGAGCTTTTCACACAGCAGTGCAGCACCTACGGTTATTAATTTATTATTGNGATTGGAAGCCCTTTGGAGCTCAGAGTGAAGTGAAATGGTGGATAAGCAGAAGCCCTCAGTGCTCCTTCCATTGTTGCTAGCTTGATTGTGGATGAGGTATCTTTGGCTGGCAGTACCAAGGTCAATATCTCAAGGATGAGGTATCCATTGTTACTCAAACTTCGGAATTCAAACTTCAAACGGCTTGGAATAACCTCACATTTTTTACCCAGAGCTTTTCACACAGCAGTGCAGCACCTACGGTTATTAATTTATTATTGTAAGTCTATTTGTGTAAAATATGAAATAAAAAAGGAAAAATAACAGTAAACCCTAAGTTAGAGGTAGAAACCATCAATTTTACGAACAGAGCACCGGAGCACCCCCGAATCATCTTATGATATTAATTTCCTATGTCATAGGAATCAAGGGGATAATAAATACTCCGTAATAATAAACTGTGTTTTCGGTGTCAATAATCGTATATGTACGTACAAATTCAATGGCGATCGTTATCCTTGGTGTCAACGTTTATAGATTTCTTGCATGGCTCATTATATAATCTGCTCCCTAATATATGATGTAGTGCAAGCTCTCCAAGACAGCACCATCTTATGATATTAGCTCAGAATCTCAATAGCTCTCGCTTATTGTGAGGTACTACGTATGAGAGAGCGAGACGTAGCTCATACATTTAAAAAACTGACTATCTCCACATAACTCATGATGAGCGCCAAAGTTGCATTAACTAACTGTTACTCCCTCAGTCCCAAAATAACTTACATGATGTTTTTAATATTACATTTTTTCGATTTTTTTGCATGTTATAATTAGTTATTTGATAAAATAAAATATTTTTATCACAACTTACACTGTAAAAATTTTGATGTATTATTTTAAATATGCAGGTTTTTTTTATTCTATACTAATTTGTAAATATAATTAATATAAAAGTTAATTACAAAGTATTGCACATCATTTAAATAGTGTTAATCATTTTGAGTCAAAGAAATATTTTTCATTATAAAAAGTGCATATAATTGAAATAATCATCTGTTTTTTCCATTCCATCATACTCTAAAGTCAAAAAAAGTGATCTTTTTTGTGTTTAAATAGAAAGGTCGTGGCCAATGTAAAACACACAAATTGAGAGGAAATATATAATTTGACTTGTAGTGTTGATTATTCAACTCACATTATTACGAAAGCTTTGAGAACTATACTATTTGATCATTTGAGCTAGCCACACCTAATCACACACCGACCTTAAGATTACGTAGAAGGGGCTTTGAAGGAGAGATTTGGACTAATTGTGTAAATTATTTCAACCGAAATATCATTCTTAGCTAGGCAAGAACGATAAAATAGTCTAACAAAATACACGAAAATACAAATACGAGGAATTTGATGTGGAAACTCAATCAGGAAAAAACCACGGGTCTTTTTTTGAGGCACCTTTGCCAACAGAAGATTTTTATTAACATTGGTCATTGGGAGTTGTACACGGTACATGATTTGGGTTCGGAAGCCATTAATGGAAGCTTGAAGCTTCTTTCAAGAAATAAAATACATAATATTCTAGAGATCAGAGAGAGAATTGGGCAAGGTAGGAGTGTGTTGGCCTCCCGTCTATTTGTGAAAGGGCTCTCCTTTTATAAGAGGAGCCAAAGCATCTACGGATGAATGTTCTCTTATTCTTTCATTTTACTAAATAGACCCGGTTGGATTGATCTTTGTTAGAGATAGAAGAAGGAAACAGTATTGAAGAAGGAAAGTGTTAGAGACATAAGAAGGAAGCGGGATTGAAGAAGGAAACCGAATCCCTTTGGGATTAGGTTTAGTATCTTTCCTAGTTGGATTAGGTTTAGTATTTAGTATCTTTCCTAGTTTATTTAATTCTTATTTTAGTAGGAATAGAAATTTCTTTGTTTACTTTACCCTCTTCCTATATAAAGAGGGTTAGATCTTTGTATTAAACACCAATTTCACAAGCCAGTTCAATATACAGAGAATTTCCTCCCAAATAATTCTTTCATGGTATCGGAGCAAGTTTTGAATTCTTGAGACCTGAAACACGCTTCTTGAAGAAGTGGTCAGACAAGGGTTGTTCTACGGAGACAAACAACTCTTTCCGCATCTACTGTTCACGATCGACCGGCATCGCGTTCATCGATCATTGCCTGTTGTTGCTGCTGAAGTGCTGGAACGGTCGACCGTTGCTGAAGAACGGTCGAGTGGGTCGACCGTCCCGACGGTAGTTTCTCTTGATCGCGGTTACTGTTCACGATCGCCCGGCATCACATCCATCGGTCGTTGCTCAGTTTCTGTGGTTTGGAGCAGTTCCCAATTTGTACGTGTAGGAATTGCACGTGGGACCTGCCAGAGAAGCTTGCGCAAATGCGCGAACCGAGGGAACATTTCTTGCAGGTTTGGAGCAGTTCCCAATTTGTACGCGTAGGAATTGCACGTGGGACCTGCCGGAGAAGCTTGCGCAGATGCGTAAACCAAGGGAATGTTTCTTGCAGATTTGAAGCAGTTCCCAATTTGTACGTGTAGAAATTGCACGTGGGACTTGCCGGAGAAGCTTGCGCAGATGCGCGAACCGAGGGAGCGTGTTTTTTATGTCCAAGCTGTGCATGTTGAACTCCCATGCTCCAGCTTGAGGGGGCCAAGGGTGTTAGAGATAGAAGAAGGAAGCGGTATTGAAGAAGGAAAGTGTTAGAGACAGAAGAAGGAAGCGGGATTGAAGAAGGAAACCGAATCCCTTTGGGATTAGGTTTAGTATCTTTCCTAGTTGGATTAGGTTTAGTATTTAGTATCTTTCCTAGTTTATTTAATTCTTATTTTAGTAGGAATAGAAATTTCGTTGTTTACTTTACCCTCTTCCTATATAAAGAGGGTTAGATCTTTGTATTCAAAACTAGTTTCACAAGCCAATTCAATATACAGAGAATTTCCTCCCAAATAATTCTTTCAATCTTCAACTAATTGGGAAATGTGGGTCGAGCCACGTATTATTTCTCATCAAGAAGTCCTTAACTTTTTTAAGTTGTGAGAATCATCAACTTAAGAAAGTAAATAAGTCTTTCGAGCACTATCTTTAGTCTTCATATGTTGCAGGAAAGAAGATCAAGTTGAAACTTTACATCGAGGCATTGTTGTGAGTTTGCGAGCTATGCTAGACGAGCATAATGTACTAGCAAAGTCATTTAGGATTGCGAGGGACAAACTAATGGAACAAGGAAATGTGTCTTTCAGCTTGAGGTTAATAGGCACCAGATATTCCGATCCACACAGATATAATATACCATCAGTTGAAGAAGTTGCCACATTAGTAGTTGGAGATTTTGATCTAAATTTAAGAGAAAGAGACATTGTAGTTAAAACACACGAAGGTAAACTACAACAGATAAGTGAGCTTAATTCAACGTATCTAGGGTTACAATACCCACTTCTATTTCCGTATGGTGAAGAGGGCTATCGAGAAGACATTCCTTTTGTAAATGCTGACCAATCAAACGTTGGAGGAAGGAGTGTTAGCATCAAAGAATTCCTCTCATTTCGATGGATTTAAGATGGTTGAATCGTCGAGATTGTCTAACATTAGTGCTCACTAGAAAAACTTACGGTGTGATATGTACAATCACTTTTCAGATTTAGTTCTTAATGGTGATACCGATTCGTTGACAAAGGGCCAATGCATAATACTCCCTCTTACCTTTGTCGGAGGAGCATGTTATATGATTCAGAATTATCAAGATGCAATGGTAATATGTAGGTAGATCGGCTATCCTGATTTATTCTTAACTTTCGCATGTAACCCAAAATGGCCAGAAATTGAAAGATGTATGCAACATAGGAATCTCACTGCCCAAGATCGGCCTGATATCGTATGTCGGGTATCTCACATTAAGTTGAATGGATTGCTGCATGATATAAAGAAGAACAAGATATTTGGAAGAATCCTTGGAGGTAAATCAAATATTTATGTGTATTATTGAATATAATCTACAATAAGTTTTTTGCGGAATGTAACCAATTTTTTCATTGATTTATACAGTTGAATACCAGAAACGTGGTTGACCTTATGCACATATTTTGTTGTTTTTGAGTCAAGTGAATAAATTTCCAACACCAAAAGATATTGACTGTATCATGTCAGCAGAGTTGCCTGATAAGGAAACTGATCCTGATTATTATAACGTAGTTCGAGATTTTATACTTCATGGCCCGTGTGGGAGAGATGCACCTCATGCGCCGTGCATGAAAGATGGGAAATGTGAAAAGCATTTTGTAAAACAATTCAATGAGGAGACAAATATTGACGATGAAGGGTATCCTAACTATAGAAGAAAGTTTGATGAGAGAACTGTGCTGAAAAATTGTGTTGTACATCTTGAGAATCGTTATGAGGTACCACATAATAGATATCTCCTTTTAAAGTATGGAGCTCATATTAATGTAGAGTGGTGCAATCAATCACGATCTATCAAGTACTTATTTAAGTACATCAACAAGGGCCATGATCGTGTGACTGCTAGTCAGTGAAATTAAAATGTACCATGATTGTCGATATATTTTTCCATGTGAGGCAGCATGTAGAATATTTGGCTTTGAAATTCAGTACAAATTTCCAAGTGTTGAGAGATTATGCTTCCACTTACCCATCGAACAATGAATCTTTTTCAATGATGATGATGATAATGCACGTGCGGTCCTGCGATGTGAAAGTATACGAGAGAGCATATTCTTAGCTTGGATGAAAGCTAATGAACGTTATCCTCATGCAAAAAAGTTAACATATGTGGAATTTCCATACCATTTTGTTTGGAGCGATGATAAAAAAGAGTATGTTCCACGACAAAGACGAATTACTATAGGTAGGCTAACGTATGTTCCTCCAGGAGTAGGTGAAAGATATTATTTGAGAATTCTACTCAATGTTGTTTGTGGTCCAACAAGTTATGACGATACCAAGAATGTTAATGGTTACATACACAACACGTATCGTGGTACTTGCTATGCTTTGGGATTGTTAGATGACGATAATGAGTATCTTAATGAATTTAAAGAAGCCAGTCATTAGACATCGAGTGGAGAATAAAGATATTTATTTGGTACCTTTCTAACAAATAAATCAATGTCTAGGCCAAGATATGTATGGGAC